TCCCTGCATATCTGGGATGAAGACTACTTGATCAAGGTGGATAATTTTTTGATGTGTTCCTGGATTAAGTTTGCCAGTATTTTATTGAGTATTTTTGCATCAATATGCATGAGAGATGTTAGTCTGTACTTCTGTTTCTTTGTTGAATATTTATGTGGTTTGGTTATCAGAGTGACTATAACCTCATAAAATGAATTTAGTAATATTCCTTCTGTTTCTATTTTGTGGAGTAATTTGAGGAGTATTAGTATTAGCTCTTCTTTGAAGGTCTGGCAGAATTTTGTGCTAAAACTGTCTGTCCCTGGGCATTTTTTGGTTGGGAGACTTTCAATGATTGCTTCTGTTTCTTTGGGAGTTATGAATCTATTTAAATTGTTTATCTGATCTTGATTTAACTTTAGTGAGTGGTATCTACCAAGAATATTATCAATTTCTTTTATATTTTCCAATTATTTGGAGTACAGGTGTTTGAAGTATGACCTAAAGATTCTCTGGATTTCCTCAGAGTCTGTTGTTATGCCTCCCATTTTTTTGTTTCTAATTTTGTTAATTTGGACATCCTCTCTCTGCCTTTTAGTTAGTTTGGACAAAGTTTGGTCTATCTTGTTGATTTTCTCAAAATGCAATCCCCATTAAAGTCCCAACACAATTCTTTACAGAAGGAACTAGGAAAAATTCATCCTGAGTGAGGTAACCAGATCCAGAAAGACAAATATGGTATGTACTCACTTATAAGTGGATATTAGTTATAAAGTAAAGAATAACTACGCTACAATCCACAGACCTAGAGAGGCCAGGTAACAAGAAGGGCTCAAGGGGAATGCTTGAATCTCCCTGGGAAGGGGAAATAGAATAGATTTCATGGGTGGACTGGATGTGGGTGGGGAAGTGGAAGGGGGAAGAGTACTAAAGATGATGATTGGGGAAAGGGAGCATTTCAGAGTGAAGTAGAAACCTAGTGCAAGGAAAACACCCAGGAATCTATAAGGATGACCCCAGCTATGGCTCCTAGCCATAATGGTTATGTAGCCTGAACAGGCCACTTCCTATAACCTGGCAAGATTTTCAGTGCAGGGATCGTTACACCAACCCAGACATATAAACTTTGACCTACAGCCTATCCTGTCTATGGGGTGTGCTGGGGTAAGGGTGGCACAGAGGTTGTGGGAGTTTGGACATATTCCATGAGAGTAAACCCACCCCCTGACACTGCCTGGAGCATCAGGATCCAGAGCCTGGATGGCCCAGAGACCTAGGATAGAACCAAACATGACTGAAAAAGACGTAATGTAATGATGTCTAACGGTAGTCTTCTCTACTCATAGATTGGTGCCTAGCTCAATAGTCATCAGAGAGGCTTCATCCAGCTGCAGGTGGAAACAGATACAGAGATCCACAGCCAAACATTAGGCAAAGCTTTGGGAATCTTTTGGAAGATGGGGAGGAAGGATTCTAGGAGCCAGAGGGGTCAAGGACATCACAAGAAAACCCACAGAATCAAAACTAACCTGTGCTGTGGGATGTTCTGTATGGCAAATGTGTTGCTCTGATTGGTCAATAAATAAAACACTGATTGGCCATTGGCTAGGCAGGAAGTATAAGCAGGACAAGGAGGAGAATATGGTGATATTTTATTTGTATTAAAATGTTATTTGTATGTTAATAAATAAAGTTGCCCGGGGGTCAAAGCTATTAGCAAGCCATAGGAAAGCAGGGCAGTGGTGGCATACGCTTGTAATCCCAGCACTTGGTAGGCAGAGCTAGGTAAGTCTCTGTGTGTTCAGGGATACAGCCAGTATTGGATACACATGCCTTTAATCTCAATACCAATCATAGAAAACCTGGAGGTCTATACAGACAGGCCGTGATGAGGCGGTCATGTGGTTGGGTTTACAGCCAATGAGAAGGCAGAAGAGGAACTCTATATAAAGACTTTAACACAGGGGTAGCTCTGGTTCGGAGAGGTAGGACCACCGCAGGAGGAAGGGTAAGGTTTTAGCTCTTAGCTCTGACCTCTTGGCTTTCTTCTTTGCATTTTTTCTGTGTTTCTTATTTAATAAGAAGGTTGGTTACATCTACAAATGGCGTCCAACGTAGTGGCAAGAGTTTCCACCTAAAACCTGAAAAAAGATTCTAAAATGGAGCTAAAAACAGTTCCTAATTGTCTCTCTCAAATGAGCAGCAGCTGCCAGTTTGAGCTACTGGTGGGTTCCTAGTGTGCGTGCTGGACCTGCCATATGGCGGGAATGAGGCCTCTGCAAGTGGCACATTAAGCTGTGTGGTAGATTTAGCCTTTGCTAGTACAAAACAAAACAAAAAAAAAGGTTTCTGGGCTACATGCTGCTTGGATAAAAGCATAGACCCACCATAGCTCCCAGAGCCGGTGGTAAAGTACCAAGGCCATGTTGGGAAGCTGAGGTGGGCGGAGCCAGCAGCCACAGCTGCTGCAGTTTAAAGCAATAGATTCACAATAAGACAGATTCAGATGTAATAGTTTAAAATGTGTATAAAATATACATAGACTTGGAAGAGAGAGAAAAAGGAATATATACAGTTATATAAAGAAATACATAGTTTTTAAAAATAAAGTCTTTAAAGAGACAGTAAAATTAATATAAAAAATAAGCGACGTAAAGATGAATATTACACAGAGAATCTGGATTGTGTTGTCTTTGGGATTTTTAACTGCAGAAAAACATTTGATTGTAAAAGCTGTTGAGTTATGCCAAAATGTATATTTTAAAGGTATCTTGACTTTAAAATTTGGATATAAGGATATGTTGCTTTGGAAAGGAGACTCTGCTTTTGTTCCCACAGAAAGCCAGAAGCTATGGATTTGTTCCAGATTAAGATACATCAGGTTTGACCAGCCAAGACCCCCTGAAAGGTCTCCGATGACACCATGGCCCAGATGATCCAACATCCAGAATGGTTTCAAGGCAACTGGCTCAGACGATACAGCCTCATGGACTACTCCATGATCCTAAAATTTTCTTTGTGTCCCCATAAGATACAGCGCCCCCCTCCAGCAGGAAGTAGTAAGAGAAGCTATGCCCAAATTCCCAAATTATATGTAATTTTACTTTGTTAAGGTTAAAACCTTCCTTTTTTTTAAAAAAAAAAGGGGGGGGAGTTCTGTGGGTTGCTCTGTATGGCAAATGTGTTGCTCTGATTGGTCAATAAATAAAACACTGATTGGCCATTGGCTAGGCAGGAAGTATAGGCGGGACAAGGAAGAGAATAAAGCTGGGAAGTGGAAGGCTGAGTCAGAGAGACACTGCCAGCCACCGCGATGACAAACAGCATGTGAAGATGCCGGTAAGCCACGAGCCATGTGGCAAGGTATAGATTAATGGAGATGGATTAATTTAAGCTGTAAGAACAGTTAGCAAGAAGCCTGCCATGGCCATACAGTTTGTAACCAATATAAGTCTCTGTGTTTACTTGGTTGGGTCTGAGCGGCTGTGGGACTGGCAGGTGAGAGAGATTTGTCCTGACTGTGGGCCAGGCAGGAAAACTCTAGCTACAAACCTGGGCTCAGGAGAGCTCACAGACTGGACAAACAGCTAGGGAGCCTACATGGGACTGACCTAGGCCCTCTGCATATATGTTACAGTTGTGTAGCTTAGTCTTCCTGTTGTATTCCTAACAGTGGAAGCAGGGGCTGTCTCTGACTCGTTTGCTGGATTTTGGGACCCTATTCCTCATACTGGGTTGCCTTGTCCAGCCTTAATACATGGGGAGGTGCTCAATATTACTGCAACTTGACATGCCATGTTTTGTTGATATCCATGGGAGGCCTGCCCTTTTCTGAATAGAAATTTAGGAGAAATGGAGAAGGGAGCAGAGAGGAGGGGAGAGGGAATGAAAGGAAATGAGAGAGGGGAAACTGTGGTTGGGATGTAGAAAGAAAAGGAAGGGAGGAAGGAAGGAAGGAAGGAAGGAAGGAAGGAAGGAAGGAAGGAAGGGAGGGAGGAAGGAAGACATGTAGTTGGTTTAGCCATATTTCCTAACATACGAAGAAAATTTAATTAAGAATATAAAAGGAGGTGAAAGACAGTCCAGAGAAAGTTACACTCCAGATTCCATATTTTTTTCACTTCTAACTCCAGGCATATTCAAAATCAAACACCCCTTAGATATCTTAGGTAAGTTAATAAGTTCTCTTTTGCTTCACTTAGTTAATGTGAAAGTCTTAAAAGACATCATCTTATTATAGCTTTACAGTCCCTGCTTTAGCCCTGTCCACCAGCAGTTAGGTACGAAAACTTGTCTGCACATAATCTTTATCTACAAAGCTTTAAGAATATCAAAAATGCCCAAGCTACAATTCCCAAGACTCTGGATATAGAACAGAGAGGTCAGTACTTTATAAATTCTCAGGTGATTCCAGTAAGCAGCCAACATTAACAACCATGGTTCTACAGAGCAAATATCACCAGATGACCTTTGATGTTAGATTAATATTCACCAAACTTATTCTGTTTTTATTTGGGGTTTTAGGATCAGCAGTGCGAAACCTATGGGTTGACACCCCTTTGGGGGTGTTGAACAACCCTTTCACAGGCGTTGCCTAAGACCATCATACAATTGATATATTATGGTTCATAACAGTAGCAAAATTACAGTTATGAAGTAACAATGAAACTAATGTTTTGGTGTCACCACAACATGAGGAACTGTATTAAATCTGTACAGAAATGATGAAATGTGTATTGAATCTGTATTAAAGGGTCATAGCATTAGGAAAGTTGAACACTACTGGGTTAGGCGGTTCTTTGAGACAAGGTTTTAAAATAGGGCTCATCCACTAGTGGTTCTTGCTATGTAGTCCAGGCTTTCCTAAACTTGTGATCATCTTTCTGCCTCAACTTCTCTAGTTCTAGAAATATGGGCATACACCCTTATAGGAAGTTTATTTTATATATATATATATATATATATATACACCAAAATATGTTTATTGGGATGATTTTTGACTCATCTTGAATCAGATGTTTTCAGTGCTGCTTCCTCCAGAAGGAGGATCCTTCTGTCACACTTGCTTTACAGCCCATGGGCTGAGAGAGGACAGTGGAGCAACTAACACACAAGACTACAGTTTGTGCATGGCTAAAGACAGTGGTAATTTTATAGCATCCTGGGCATTCCACATCCAGAAAGCAGGAATGGGGGCTCTGCACTAGGTGGTTTTTCTTGTGTTTCCTCTTCTCTTCTGGAGAGGAATGAAGGAGATGCTTTGTGAAAGGCATGTTCTCTTAGGGAGGTTGTCACTGCAGAAAGGCAAGCTTAGCACTTTCCAAGCCTAGTGGGGCACCCAAATTCCCTAAAGGAACTTTTTCAAAAGATAGGCTCTGAAATTTTAGCCATGGAGACTCTAATTCAATAGTGCTTGGGCACAAAAATCTAACTGCCTTTTGAATATGCCAAAGTGATTTTAATTCCTGACTGTACTTTAAAGCCAACAGCAAAGAGCAGTAGTAGTATGCAAAGTGGTTTATAGAATTGTCATGAATACTTAAAACAGTAACAATGCAACATATCAATGTTTAAAATTGATAGGAATTTGGTAGCACCACATGATACCTTTTCACTTTTTAAGGGAATACTAAATAGTTTATTTTTGAACTTAATATGAATGACAGTGGCACAGGAACCGATTCAGACTGTCCAAATAACATATTTTAACATAGAAATGGTTTCACAAAATATTTTTAGTTACAGAACAAAAGATAATAATAAATCAAACCATTTTGATAAATAAATTTGTGGAAACATCAGACAGATGGTGTCTTTGCTAGGGTTTTATTGATGTGAAGAGACACCATGATCATGGCAACTCCTATAAAGGAAAATATTTAATTGGGGCTGGCTTATAGTTTTAGAGTTTTAGTCCATTATTGTCATGGCAGCATGCAGGCAGACATGGCTCTGGAGAAGGAGCTGAGAGTTCTACGTCTTGATCTGCACACAGGCAGTAGAAGGAGACTGCATGCCACATTGGCCATAGTTGAGTATATAAGACCTCAAAGCCCACCTCCCATGTGACACACTTCCTCCAACAAGTCCACACCTCCAAATAGTGCCACTTCCTATGAACCAAATATTTAATCACATGAGTCTGTGAGGGCCATTCCTATTCAAACCACCACAGATGGATTATAGCAATGCAGGAAATTTTATGCTATAGACCTCAGGGGTTCTCTGATGACATTCTTAACTTTTAAAATGCATTTTTAGTAAAATAAAATTATAACATTTCCCCCTTTTCTTTCTCCCTCCATCCTATCCCAGGTACCCCTCTCATTTCACTGCCTATTCTCAAATTAATAACCTCTTTTACTTTGATGCATGCACAAATATATAGATGCAACCTGATAGGTCCAATTTTGATTTTTGTGTGTATATGATTTCAGGGCTGACCACTTTGTATTGAATAATCAATAAAGAGGCTCATCTCTGAGAGAAGCTAATTCTCCCTCCCCCGGCAGTCATAAGTTGCCTGTAATTCTTTCCTTGGGGTAGGATCCTGTTCAATTTCCTCTTCCACCTTTGCATATCTATTGATCATGTCATTGTTTCAGTCTTGTTTATGTACACATTTCTAGGAGAGACTGTGTCACAGCAAACTTCCTTGTATCCTGGCTCTTACAATATTTCCATCCCTTCTTCAGCCATATTTCCTGATCCATAGATGCAGGAGCTCTGATATAGATGTATCCATTTGGACTTGACTCCCCAAGGTCTATTAATCTCTGCATTATGTCCAGTTGTGGTTCTCTGTAACAGTCTCCATTTGCTGAAGAAAATAAATAAAAGCTTCTTCAGTGACAGATAAGAGATACACATCTCTGTGGGTATATGAAGAAGTATTTAGACTATACTTAGAAATTATATACCTTTCACTTTTAACTGTAATCAAATTGCTTTGGCACTGTTTTCTCTTGTATCCTATAAGGAAACTTTCATACTGGTTCTTCTCTCTTTTTAGGAGATTTTTTTAAAAACTTCCCAAATTCTTGATTCTGGCCCATTGACAATCACTTACAAACAGCTTGCCCTGGTAGAAAACAGAATTGGTGTCATTTGAGACCTTGATTTTTTTTTAACTTTCTCTGTAGCATGATTTGAGAAGTTTCTCTCTAATTATTACATCCTTCAGTTCTAACCTAGTGTTATTGTGTGTGGTCAATTAACAAAGAAATAATATAACAAAACTACACTTTCTGTAATTCTTTGCTACTTTCTGGAGTAATTGAGAAATGACTGATCTTTAAATGAGTCAATTATTGTTTCTACTGAAGTCTGAATATTGCTGTTCCTTAAAGACATTTCCACATTGTTTCCAACAGCACCTTGTTAAAAATGCCTCTAGCCAATTTTGCTGTGAAAAAAAAAACTGTTCAAAGAATAGTCTTAAAACATTTTGATCCTAAAATGTAAATGTCCCTGAGAAAATACTTTAATAATTTAGTGAAAAAGGGGTTTTGAAGTAAATCAGGTCAGAGAGAGTCCCAGGAGAAAGGCTGATCAGTATATAATAAGTTTCAGTTAAATAGAAAGAAGAAGTTATTGCATGCTATTACACTTAAGGTCTTCATAGGTAACAGTAGTGTAGCCAACATTCCAAAAGTGAAAAGAAAGGATTTTGAAAGTTTTTACCATAAATAAATGTCATATATTTCAGCAGACATAATCTGATTTAAACGTATCACTCACTTGTGTGTGTGTGTGTGTGTGTGTGTGTGTGTGTGTGTGTGATATATGTAAGTACATGTGTCATATATATATAATACATGGTACCCCATTGGCCTGTACATTTTTAAATATTTCATATAGGAGTTTAAAATAAATTTTAAAAATAGAGTTAAGCCAATTCTCAAAGCACCATCTAACTTAAAATTGAGTTCCAATGGCAGTAGACAAATTTTAATAGAAGAGTCACTAGAGGAAATGATCTAGACTCAAAGAGCAAGAGTTTCTAAATATGGCTGTCCTTAAGTACCATAAAGTTCCAGGTGTGTAGCAGTATTTGCTCTGCCCATGACCTTGGGCTATAGGGCCAAAGGAGGCAGTGCTTCTTGCTGCTGTATGTGACCTCTTAAAAGGAAAGGAAGAGGGGTCATGTGGGTCCTGGTGGCTCAGTGGTTAAGAGCACTGACTGATGTCCTAGAAGACCCAAGATCAATTCTCAGGCTGTCTGGTGTCCAATCATGCCAGGATCTAAAAAAAAAAAAAAAGGAAGGAAGGAACCATGTAACCCCTCTTCCTTTTCCTGGAAGTATTGGGTACAATATAGACATTTACAAACAAGTCATATTTCAATTACATTTTTAATTTAATTTAATTTGTATAAGTGAAGTTTTCCTTGAATATTGATCTCTCATTTTTAAGACATTTAAAGACATTTTTATTCCTTCACAATTTCATACATACATAATGTGCTTTGATAATATTCTCCCATTACTGTTTCTTATTCCCTTTCCAACCCTGCTGAATCTCTCATTCTTTTCAAGAAGTCCCCTTCCTACTTTTATGTCTTTTTTGTGTGTGTATGATTCACTGTGTTTAATTAGAGTAGAGAGTTCATTCTTAATTGTCACCCCTTTGGTGCCTCTTCCAGAAACGTACACAAAAAAACAATATCTTTAAATCTTAGGTGAATTTATGTTTTCCTTTTGGACACAATGCTTTATTAAATCTGATCAGCTTTATTCAGATCTATTAAACATGGCTTAGAGAGTTGATTTCTGAAATTTAAGTAATAAAAGAAAGTGTTTAGAATAATTGCACAAAATGTCTGTAATGAAAACTATATATTGTTAACTCTTAAGTCTAAATGCACTGAACTACAAAGTGTAGACGAATTTCTAAATGGTCTTAATAAATAAAAAACACAGAGCCAGAAATTTGGCTTAAAGCCTGAGAGAAAGATCAGAGGAATAGTACAAACCATAAGCTAACCTCACCTCACCAGTTCTGCAGCTTCCAAAGAGAGCTTCTTCCTGTATACTGACGTTTATATGCCTTTTCTGTTCTGTTCTCTCATTGGCTCTCTTAGCCCAGCTACATCACTTCCTCTTTCTACACAGCTCTGTCATTTCCTCTCTGTCTGGCCTCCAGACCTCCATGGTTAACTAGTTTTCAAATTTAAGACGTGTGCCACCACACCTGGTTCTGTTTCCAATGTGGCTTTGAGCACACAGAGATCCTGCCTGCCAAGTGATAGGATTAAGGGTGTGTGCTACCATTGCCTAACTTCTTTGTTTACTTAAAATGGCTTGCTATTTCCTCTGATCTCCAGGCAAGCTTTATTTATTAAAGCACAAATAAAATATTACCACATTTCAGCACAAATAAAATATCACCACAACAAAGAATACAAGTGTTCATTTATATTGCTAGTTATTTCTCACTATGTAACTGGTAACAATTATATTCTAGTTAACCATGTGTGTCCTAGAAAGCTAACCCAAAACCTAATTACCGTTCTATTTTCTCTTAGGACTTTATAGGTCAGGAATTCCAGTTTGGCTTGAATAGTTGATTTTTCTGTTTCAACTGGAACCACTATGCTATCAACTAGAACCACTTGGTGGTGTTATATTACTGAATAGGCTTGGTATAAGAGAGCTCAACTCATATTCCTAGCATCTTGTCAAAGACAGCTCAATGTGACCTTTACCATTCTCTATAGCATTTCAGAGTTTCTCTACATAATGCTTTAGCAGAGAATTGAAACCTCTCACATGGTAGCTTAAGGATTCATGAAACCAAGGTGGAAGCTGTCAAACCTCTAACTGTAAGGCCCAGAACAGACACATCATTTTCTTTAGCATCAGGGACTAGCTAGCTCAGACCAGTTGTTGTATAACAGGATCTTCTGAAGATAAAACCTTTCATCTTAGAGGGAACCTTCTTAAGATGTAGAATATGAAAAGGGAAGTAAAACAACAGTATATTTGAGATGGGATGTTCACAGATAGGTAAAATAATAGGTTTACTAAAGGGAGGTGAAACTCTTCATCCTGCAGGAAAGCTCATTAAGACAGGAAGTAGACAATTCAAATAGCTTCAGGAAGTTCCTCAAACTGACCAGATTAACTAGGCCTCTCCTTCTTCAAGTACTCTTGAGGTACTCATAAATACTCATAAGCAGGTCTAATAATATCTTCCTTATGTACTAGAATAAGGGCTGGAAAAATCAAGTGAACTCAATACATAGGTTATGTGTTCTAGGTTTGAAATATAAACAATGCT